CTTTGAGCTGTAATGTTGGAGAAGAACATCCCATGGTCAGCCAAAAGAACAAGTACACATGTCTTGGAAAAGGGTGCAGCTGGAGTGCCCTTTGGAGGCGAGGATGTTGAGGCTTCACCTCACATACTTCGGACATGTTGTTAGGAGGGCCTGTTCCTTGGAGAGGGACTTGATGCTCGGAGAGATAGAGGGTTAGTGAAGGAAAGAAAGACCCTCAACCAGGAGGACTGCAGTGACTGCTGGGATGGGCCCTACTGTGTCAGGAAGTGTGAGGATGGCACAGGATAGGACAGGGTTCACATCTGTTGCTTATAGGCTTGTTGTAGGTTGTACTCAACTCAAAGGCACCTAATAACATGTTGAATCCAAAAGGAAGCTCTCTGGTGGTTTAATGGTATGAAATTGTGCTGTCATCCAAGCTACTCGTTTTGAAACTACCAGCTGAGGAGGAAAGTAAATGACTCCGGAGGAGTGTGATTTACTGCCTCTGACAGCCTCCTGAAGGGTCAGCTGCGAGTCAGTTCTGACTTGACAGCACTTAATAACAACAGTTCATAACGGTGACCCCATGTATGTGGAATAGAACTGTTCCATCCTGTTGTCACGGCAGTGCCCTCTCAGAAACCTGTGACCTGGCTAGTCTCCAGAGCGCCTCAGCATGGATTCCTGTCACCAGTTTTATTTTTTCCTTCATCTTTCTTCTCTCTCATTGTCACAGAGTTGGAGTCGATTCATAGTTGACCTTCCGGCAGGTTTTTGGTGTCTGTGAATCCCACGGGAGGAGACTGCTTCTGTTCTCACCGCCTCCATCACTACCCTCACCCCCAGCCCTGCTCCCCAGGACCCTCTGATGGTTCGAACCACCTGAGATGTGCTTCTTTTATGAAACCAGCAGCGCTCCCTTTTGCCTAATAGTACAACCTTTAGCTGATGTGCCGTCCAGGGTCTCCTGTCTGTGGTGCCGTCGAGTTGACCACAACTTATAGTGACCCTGTGGATAAAGGATCTGGAGCCTGCCCTGTCCTGTCCCATCCTCATCCCTGCAGATACACTTGAGCCCAATGCTGCAGTCGCTGTGTGTGTTCAGTTCATCTGGTACAAGTGCTTCCTAAGGGAAGGGACACGGAGGCTTGCCCTTGAACCTCTGATGAGAGTATAAAGGGACTGAATTATTCCCAGTAAAATCCCTTAGTTAACCTTGATAATTTTCCATGTACAGCACGTGCAGTTGCCTGCACTGGAGTAAATTTTTGTAACAAAACCTGCCTTCCTGGTTTTCAGAACTCTGTTAGTATTTTATTTTCAGTCAGAAGCAAGGAGGATCTCTTATGACACC